CACACAACTGGCATACTCACACACACATACACACTGGCACACTCTCTCGCACACACACACACGCTCAGTCACAAATACCAAAAACGTTCGCTAAAAATAAATTATTGCGGGCTGCAACATGATTTTAATTAAAGTTTTAACGAAAACCAAATATTTATCGTTTCATTTTGCTTTCAATTGTGCGCAGCGCGGTTTTTGTTTGTACAGCGTTGCCCCCACACAACAACAACGACCACCGACAACAACAACCAACAACAAACATCATCATTAAGGAGCCAACAAATTCAATATGCATTGCATTTAAATATGTAAAATGCTAAAAGCGAGCGAGAAACAATTTATTATGAACAGCAAAGGTCATTTGAAAGTTATAATAATGTGCTATACACACACCCACACACACACAAATATGTGCGTGTGTGTATGGGTGCTGTAAATAATGTGTGATAAACCCATCTAATATACATAAGCATAGTCCGGCTAGAGCAGGAGCAGAGGGTCGTATGATTAAGCAAACTGCAATTGCATTTCGTTTGGCAGTTGGGACTGCATTTACATTCATTTCATTGATTGCGCAACAAAATCTGTTGCATATTTAATTCGGTTTGATTTTGCCATAACTTTATCAATTAAGTTTAATTAAATGTAGAGCTCCGACGGCACTGAACCGTAGCTAAATGCAATGCCAGCTGCCCAAAACTGAAGTTGCACCTATCTCGCTCGCACACTCAGTAACCCGCTCACTCACTCACTCACTCACTTACTCTCTCTTGCTCTCTTTCACCCTGTGTGTTGCCTATTAATTACGTTTTGCATGCAAGTATTACGTTACGGCCATGTCATGTTTAACGTATGCCTAATTTAATTGAATTATCCGATTCGAAGAGGTTTTAGTGCCAGCAGTGGCTAATCCTTCAGTTCACTGGCTAATATGACAATGAAAGTGAAATCTATATGCGAGTATATGTATGTACATATGCATGTACGTATAAATGTATACACATGTATTTCGGCATATCAATTTTTGATTAGCTATTGATCGTTTGCTGTGGCTAATCAGCTACATATGTAACTGTTGGTAAATGAAGTTAAGAGAGTGTGTGGGAAGAAAATTGATTAATAAATTAGGAATTGAAATAGAGAAATATATAATATATATGGAATATGATTCAAATCTCTAATTAATAAATAATTAAATATTTTCTATCAGCTGAATATTACACAGCAGCCGTCTCTTTGTCTCATATTGCAAATGGTTAAACACTATTAGGTAAGTTAGACATTTACATAAATACATACATATGCATGTATATGTGTAAAGAGAGGGCCGTCATTCGCTTGCTCTCTATTATTTACGTGTGTGCTCGCTCTCACGTGGCATCGGCTTGATCAGGCTAAGCCGACGCTCGTCGTTCGAGCATAAAGCGAAGCTCACCATCGTATGACACATTGAGCGTCACGATTGAGTCTTTTAACAGCGATGGAGTTAGAGCGTAACAGGCGTATAAAAGTTGACCGTTGATGGCTTACGCTCTGTTCTCGAAATCATACTCTCTCACTCTAGCTTACTCACTCTCTTAGCTCTGAGCAAGGACTTCGTTTCTTTTCGGTTCTGTATTCCGTTGAGCGCCTTCAGCTTAAATCTTCGTGTGTTGCTATTTAAGGCTCTCACTCTAGCTTATTCACTCGCTAGCTCTGAACAAGCAACTTCGTTTCTTTTAGGCTTTGTGTTCTGTTGAGCTCCTTCAGCTTAACTCTTTGTGTGTCGCTATTTAAAGGGGAAATGCCACTTGAAGATTACAATTAATTATCATTAATTAACAGCTGTGTGGGGCTTCGACAGATCTGTAATGTTTTAAATTGACTGTTATATATACATATAAAAGCAAACCTAATACGCCACAGTCAAAGTCGTTTGGAAGAATTTGTGAAAATTCAAAGCGAACAATGTGTGAATTTTGTATCAAATTTGTTTGAATTCGAAATGTTAAGTCCTTTTTAATAATACACACATTAAAGCTAACAGTATTAAAAGGCAAATTATACTAAAAAGTTGAACTTTTCTGTAATCAACAGAAACAAAACAACTCCAACAAAGCTCTATAGCTGTCACACAAATATTTGCATAAATAATGCCTGAAGATCTAAAGCACCATGGAGTATATAATTTAGTTTTTTATCAACCACATATCTCAATTTGTTGGGCCAATAAACAAATATTCCCTGGCTGCTCATTTAATTTGCTTAACTGTTTTTCAAATCTCACAAAGTTTGTTTCATAAATCTCTCGTCTAATCACAGTAGAATAAATACATACTTAAACGCATTGTATATATGTATGTGTGTTTGATTGAACTTTGGCAATTTTCGTTTATTTATTTATTCTACATTGTTAGCAGCTGTTGTGATTTATGTTGCTATTGTTGCTTTAAGACTTTGCTGCTGCTGCTGGTGCTGATTAAAACTATGATAGATATGGCGTGCTTTCACGCCCCTTTGCTAATGATTATCGGACGGCCGGCCGGCCGGACAGACACACAGCTGTGCCAGTTCCCAGCACATTTAGCTTAATGCCCAGGCGGCCGAAGCAATGCCCGCAAAATTGTAGGCATTTCCCCAAAAGTTAAACGGTCAAAAATTGGACAAAAACAACAATAACAAGAACAACAAGAACAACAACAAAAAAGCCGACTTCGCTGACCGTGGCACAACAAACAAACAAATAAGCTGCCAAGTTAATGAGCGTAGAGCAACAACTCGAACCATAGCAAAAACAAATTAAAAGGAAAAACAAAAAATGGTAAAAATATAGGGAAAAAAGGGACAACTTAAGTGGGTGGCTGTGGGCGTGGCTGAGGCTGAGTTGCTAGCGCTTTTCTCATTACAGCTGCCAAAATTGCGAAAACTAATTTCAGATGAAGTAAAATTTGCAAATAAAGCAAAGATTGAGAACTGCAGAAAGCAAGACAGAGAGAGAGCGAGAGAGCAAATATGAAAGAAAAGAGAAAGAAAATGCAACCAACCAAGCGTTGGCCAGTAAATAAACCTACTCTAAACTTATTAAGTGCAAATTAATGAACATTAGTGTCTGCTACACTGCACACACACACACACACACATACACATAGAGTCATAGAGACTTCTACTTGTGCTTGCACAGCTTGCGATTCGAGCCCAAAATTTCATTTAATAATTTTTCAATTAAATGCAGCCGCTTGGCCAGAGGAAAAGCAAAAATACATAAATTACAAAAAAAAAAAGAGAGAACGTTGCAGTCGGGCATTATCAACTACTGAATGCTCACTCACGCTGTCAGATCCACGCCCCAGTGGGCGTTAGATATGTCAGTTTTGGTTATAGTAGTGGAAATGGAAAGTCGAACGAACGGACGGGTATTACACAAAGCCAATATACTCACTTGCTCATTCGTGAATGAGTATCCACATAAAAATCAAGCAATTTAAGAGCTCAGCTTACAATTTACCGCAATTAAGTGAGTGTATTAAGAGCGTATCTACAATTCGCAGCAGCACGCACACACACACACACACACACACAAACACACACACACACACTTCGTGCAAGCAAATCTGTTGTTTGGTTTCCGTTGGAAATTTGCGTTTTTAATTTTTTATGGATTATTTGGAGAATTTTCATTTATATTTTTTATGCACAGGGCGTTGATAAAGAGAATGAAAAAAGAAGAGAGAAGGAAAGCCCAGCAAACAATTTAAATCTAATTAAAAACAATGTGAGAAGTTTTCGCTGGGGTATTGCGGACGCAGCCATACACTGTTCAAGTGGATGGAAAATGATTTTATGTCTGAGAGGATTTTTTATTTGAGCAAAAGAATAAGCGAGTTGAGGACTGAACATAGATTTTAGCTGCAAGGATTTGAGGAAAGAAGTGGAAATTGTAGAGTGCTTTTATTTAATTTATAATATATGATCATAGACCCCTATTTCTTTTATTTAAATATTTTTTAACTATTAATAAAAGGGTTTAAACATTTCTTAACATATATAACATATATATTCTTATATTTCCTCTTATTTATGTATTTACTTTCTGTTATGTCTAACTATTCTGTTTTATTTAAGGTCTATGATATGGAATCCCTCGCTCGATATTTTTTTAGGACGCCTAGAGCTAATTTATTATTGTGGATATATAACCTATGTCTTTGAAGAGAGAAACTTTGCGGTCTTTATTTTCATATAAGAGATTTAGTATTTCTCATGATATTTCATAAATCATAGACTCTAATTTTTAGTATAATAAACAATTTAAGTAAGATTAGTTGCTTACCAAAGTAAAATGAAACCTTTATAAAAATAATTTGTGTTCACTCAACTCTCGTAACTTTTAATATTTTTCAATCAGTGTAATAAAACAGTTTAAAAATATTTATTTTTTTATTTATTTATTTATTATTTTTTTTTTTTTAATGAAAATTTGCCAGTTGCTGCTGTCGTTAGCTTTCAGTTCTCGTTTGCTGTCAGATCAACTCAATTTGATTTCGTCTGGCCTTGAATCAAATTAAAAATCCATTAAGTCCGCTTAGGTATGGCTCCCAGTGCTCCACCCCCTCCCCGTAGTCATAGCCCCAGCTAATGAATGGCCCGTCCGTCGCTCAGGTTTCATCAACTTTAAAGTGGATGCAACTTTTGATTACCATAAGACGCGCTGCCGGCCCCAAGCACTTAGCTGTCCGCCGGAGAGCGAAATGTTGTGGCTGCAGCTTGAGTTCCACTTCCACTTGAGTGCGTGCAGGGCCAAACGCTCAAGCAGCATCACTGATTAAGCAATACATACATACATTTATGCATATATATGTATATATGTGTGTGTGTGTGTGCATCAATAAATTATAAATATAACAATGCTGCCACGGCAAAGGCAACTCAGGCCCGCGCAGCTGACCCCATTTGTGCATCTCATTAATATTCGCATTTAAGCCACGTCTGACATCTCGTGTGCCCTTTGATTGTGTACTTACCCGGATTCGATGCATTTATATGAAATTCACAAAGATTTTTTGTGCCCTGGGCAAAGTCAAATGAATCCGAATCGGTGAACAGTATATCCACATCCAGTTCGAAGCCACGATTGGGTATGCCCTGTTGCAGGGGCGCCGAGAAGGGGCTGGAGTGAAAGGCGACCAGCATTTCGGGGCCACTGTAAAGAGAGAGCGAGAGTGGGAGAGAGTGGAAATGAGAGAGATTGCCAGATTGAGTGAGATATAATAATGGTATTAATTATATATTATTATTTAATTTATATATTATTATTTAATTTATTTATTTATTATATACAGTATTATTTATTTTATTAATGGTAATGATTATATATATTATTCTATGTTTCATGACTTATTATGTATATGTATATAATCATAGTAATAATTATATATATTATTGTATTCAATATTGAATTTAATAATTAATTTTTCTAGATATTTCAGATATAATAATTAATTCAAGATTATTCAAATTGAGTGAGATATAAAAATAGCATTAAAAATATCTATATATATGTATACATATTTACTTACTTCTTAGTCTAAGATTTAAGATTTACAAAACAAACAAAATTGATTTTTTGATAGAGAGAATAGAAAGAGAGAAGCTTAATAGCAATAATCATATATTTTATTGCATATGACTTGAATAACTGAGCTATTGAGATTAGTATTTGTTAGGCCTTACATATATACATATATGTAAGCCTTGCATATATGTATGTAAGGCTTAACAAAGATTAATAGAAATAAATCGTTGTTCAATGAGATAGTCCGTGGGGAAAATAAAACTATTAATTATTAAATATTTTATTGTACATTTTATTAACTTAATAATTAAATTTCTAATTAAGTTTTAGGAGAAACAAAAAAATTGATATTCATAAATACTCGTGTTTAATAGTCAAAATTTTTCATATTGCACATACGCAGCGTTCAACAACTGCCCCTACAACAATAGCAGCAACAACAAACAAACAGTCAACACTCAAATTAAAGGCATGCGAACAGTCAGCTTGGCGTAAATTCAATTTGCACAGAACGACAATCCAGTAAAGTCGCAAAGCTGTTGGTCAGACTTGAGCAGATTTATATACTTATTACTTATATTCATATTTCAATATATGTACATTCTCAGTCCTCACAAATTGAGTGAGGTTTGGCTCTAATTTTATGTATATATATGTGTTGTTAAAGTACTATATGTGATTGTACAGTTTCTACACTTAATAAACCAAAACTCAAAAAAAAAAAAAAAAAAAAAAAAAAAAAAAATATATGTACATGTATTTATGTATATTTGTAAACAGGGAAACAAACAAATGTTGAGCTTGCCAAGGCAAAAGGCTCTCGCCGCCTCTTGTTGTGCCGTTTTGCCAGCAGCTTGCTGCGCCACGCCCACCCCGCCCCAAGCACAGTGTCCGTTCGGCCGTTCGTCTGCTTGTTGTTTGCATTCTCGCTGCCAAATTAACTTTTTTCGCCATTGTCTGTCGAGGACGCTGCCGCTGCCTCTGCTGCCGCTAGCGTCGCGCCGGGACACGCCAAAAGTTTTAGGCAAATTTTTTGGCATAACAAGCGAACGAACAAGCGAGCAAGTAGCGAATCTTCACAGTGCGGGCCAACAATTTTCAGGCCGTTTGTCTTTTCATATATATATATATATAAGTTCTATTTTTTTTTTGGTAAAAATTATGAAATGACAGCCGTGGGTGTTGCACCATTTGTTGTAGACGACGTGACGCCAGCAACAGCAGCAGCAGGAGTAGCAGCAGCAGCAGGAGCAGAAGGCACAGGCCAAGAGTTGAAATTTCGCAATTGTGTTGGCCAGTGTTGGCAATGACATCAAGTGCTCATAAAACTTGGCCACTTTTGGTGGCAAATGCTCGCACAAGCAGTTCACTGCCTCTAAAGTAATATGAAAAGGCTTTAAAAGTGAACAATATTGCGGCGCCTGAATGAAATATGATAATGAACTATTAGAGTGTATGAGATGTAATTGTATATTCGCAATGAATTTGATAAATATGCTGAGCAGTATTCAATATATATTATATAAGAAGTAAACACTTCCACAAGCAATCAATATATATTATACATGCATACATACATAGTATGTACGGTGTCTGTTAATAACTGAGTTCTACTTACACTCTGAGAGCAAACTCAGAGAGCAACCGATTGCAACGACTGGCTCTCGATCTCACAGCAACCGTTTCGTTTTTGATTGGTTGCGCTCTGGCTGTCCTCTGACCGTTTCGTATGTGTATTGGTATGTGTGCGAGTGCTGTCTTCGCTAAGTAAATTGAGTGTGTGCTTGTGTGTATGTGAATGTGAAGACCATTAGCATTACCTGTTGAAGTCAGCTCACTTTGACTCCTCTGACTCTCATTGCGCGAACGTCAATCGTGTCTCTCTCTAAATGATGTTCGTTAAATGAGCGAGACACGAATGAAAGGAATCGGTGTCTTGCTGACCGCGTGAGCGAGAGAGCAGGATTTTATTCGGTTGCTTTACCGAACAGTGCGTGAGCGTAATCAAACGATCAAGCTGCATGCATATCTATGTATATTTGTATTTATGAAAAAAGAAAAAAAAAAAGAAAAAAAAAACACCTACAGACCGTGCATAATTTTAATTTCAAAATCGCTCTAATGTCTTATAAATATAAATAAATAAATTATTATTTATATTGCGGATGTATAATATTATTCGCAATAGCTGAATCGCAGCAGCTGAAATAAATTAACGAATTATGGCAGCGCAGAGTTGAAGCTATATATAGAATGATCTGTTATTGTATATACATCCATACAGACAATAAATATATAAATAAAGCTTCAATAAAATTTAAAAATGAAACAACTTCACTTTACTTTCATACGATTTTCTTTTGCTTCTGTTTTCATTTGGTCAGCGCATTAAATGTGAAATTGAAAGCAATTAAACTAATTACAGTTTGAAAGAGGCTCTTTGTTTAAGCTAACGCTTGCAATTGTTCTCTTCAGTTTTTTCATTAATTTGCCAATGCTTTTCAATTTAAATTTCAAATTGAATTTTTATAGGGCCGGCTTACGCGGCGTATGAGTCATATAAAGTACATAAAAATGAGAGGAGACGGGAGCAGCAGCTTGAGCGGCTTTCGCCCACACCTGACGCTTGTCAAGGCGCCTCACGCGCCGCACGGCCGATGTTAAAAGCCATCAAATATGGCCAAACACAAATGGCTTTTTAATACGTGTAAGTGTGGCTAAAAGACAGCAGCAAGTCGAGCAGCAGCCGAGCGATGGGTGCCCTTATTATTCAGACACCTCCAGGACACCTCCAAGGACAGAGTGGGAGTCTGGGTAACACGTGTGCAGGAGTTGGGTGGGCTGCTTGGGGGTGTGGCAGCTGCTGCAACACTGCTACTCTCTTTTCTGCTTCTCCTTCTTCTTCTGTCTTTTTGTCACTGCCAAGTGCAATAAACTGCAAATGAAAAGTAAATTAATTTTTAATAAAGCGCACAAATGTTGGCTTTGGCCGTGCTTCCCAGTGCGCTGTGGCTCATGGGCGGGGGTGGGTAGCTGAGGCAAAGGGACGCACTACGTATGCGTAGCACTTGGGTACTTAATGGCCTGCGGCACTTGCGGGTGTCGTAAAATCAACACAAAAACCCAAAGCACACGTCTCCAAGCGTTGGCCCTTTGCCCTTTGCCGGCGGTTATCAATGCGTCGCATGAAATACTTCGCAGCACTCGACTGACACTGCTGCTCCTCCTCCTCCTGCTGTTGCTGCTGCTGCTGTTGGTCACGAATTTGCACATGCCCCGATACCAAAATGTCTGACCGCAAATGGCTGCGTGGCCCCACCTCGTCTTGTGGCTACACGAGAGCAGCGAGCGAGATTGGCGGCTCTAAAAGTGCTGGCCTGTCGATTGATGTGAGGTGAGGGCACTTTGCAGGAGCAGGTGGAGAACGGTGAACGGTGAATTGAACGCCCTCAGTACTCGGGCTGGTTAACGGAATTATCCAGCAAATTTGATGCTCGCTTTGAGAAGCAAACACAGCTCAGCTGGGCCCGCTAATTGAACTAGTTCTAATAATGAACAGCTCAGGCAGAGGCAGAGGCAGAGGCAGGGGCAGAGGCACAGGCTCGGGTCCAGGTCAGGTCCTGTGGCCAGTTGATTGGGTTCGATAAGCCAGCGAATTTGTGTCAAATTAAACAAGCCACTGGGCAGGCACGATGGCTAATCAAATTGTTTAAAATAAAGTGGACAGCCATTAAATAAGGCTGCAATATGGTTTATTTCAGTTTTGAATATTTTAGTATGAAAGCTTTTAGAGAGTTAGTGTGGAGACCTGAAGAGGTTTATCAAAAACTGCTGTAATATGTGAGCGGGAGTAGAATCTAGAGTATGCTCTGAAGGTAGGTTTTTATTTTAGTTTTATGTTTATATTCATTAGTTCGTAATGCACAAAACTTTATCAAATTGAAGCAGAGCTTGCAATGCAAGCATGAATTAATATACATACACACATACATATTTTTTCTAGGGGAGCTGTCGCAAATAAGTTAAATAGTTGAAGATTTAAATTAATTTTCTTTACTTTCCTTTTGTAGTAGGTAATATAGCTGTGCAATTTAAAGCTAAGAACTAGAACTAGTTTACACTGCAGTCGTAGTTATGCTATTAACAGCGTATAGTGCTTTTAATAACATAACATGGTAATTTGGGAGAGGAGCAGATCTGGTTAACATAATCGAGCATTAACAGAAATGAGTCTGTAAATGTGCTGAAGCATGAACAACCAGCCAGACGGTCTTAAGTCGACAAACAGAATTCACAATTTTATACACCAAAATTCATTTTTATTTATAAATACTAATATTAGAGAACCTATATGTAAATACTGTTATTATATATATAAATAGTATTATTAAAACTCTATTAAAATTATTTTCTCCATTGTTTGAAGCAAGTGTATAATGCAAGGTCTTAAATGTTTTGTATTATCATAACTAATTTCAAGTATGAAGAGCAGCACATGAATGTGATTTCTGTAGAGCATTTGGAGTTGGATTTAAGGGAGCGGGAATATCGTTCTTTGTATACCCTGTACTCATTGAAAGTTTGAAATCAGTATTTATTACATTATTAAATGAAAACTAAAGAGGAGCAGCTGCTCATTCTATTAGCAAACGATTTCGTAAGCATAATGAGAAGACACTCAATGTTTAATAAAACCTCTAATAATAAATTAATTCCAAATGCTTCACAAAAATATCATTCTTATCTATTCTCATATCTCAGCTATTTCTAAATTTACATTATGTAAAAGCTTACATGCAAATTATATGGAAATTTAAATCAAGTTTGACAAATAGTAAAACTCATTTCCAAGTAAACACATACATAAGCACGGCAGAAAACACACACACTTGCACATACTTGCACATACTTACAAGAGAACTTAACTTAACATATTTGCAGACACTCACTAACACAGATGCTTGTATTTGCACGCATGTAAACTTTATCTGTAGGTAGTTAACTTTGGCTTATAACCACGAGACATCAAATAATTTGGGCTCTCTGAATAACGAACTTTTAATGCACTTGCAGACAGCATAAGTTGAAATTAAACTAAAAAAAAAAGGAACAAAAAACAAAAACATTTCATATATAAATATGTGCTGAAAATCTTGTGCGTATGTGTTGAAATACTTGCAGCAGCCAACAGATTAACATTTTAGAAACTTTGCCATGGAAATTCTAAAGCCCCTTTGCAAAGTGTGGAGAAAAATAATATTATATGAATATGCTGCTTAAAAAGTTAATGCTTTTATTCAGTTTCTTTTCAAGTGAGAAAAAAAAAGTATATATTTATATATGTATGTGTATATACATATATAAAATTAACATACTTTGGCAGCACTTAGAAATGCAACAGCTGCTTAAGTGCAGCAGGAAACGTAGGGCGGGGCGCTGGAGCAAAGAGTTCAATAAAAATGCTCAGGCACGTCAAGCAGGAGACGCTGGGGCTGCTGCTGCTTGTTGCAATTTAAAGTTGCACAGCAAAATTAATAATTTTCATGTGGCAACAGCACTCTTCGGCCCTACTCTCGCTCTCACTCTCTCTCTCTCTCTCTCTTTCTCGCTGGGTGTGCGCTGAAAGTCAGGCAGGCAAAAGCGGGCAAAAATTATATGACTGTCATGTCTGAGGTGTCTGTAAGCCAACACACACACACACACTGCAGCAGCTGCTGCAGCCAAGGCTTTGTGTGTGTGTGTGTGCTTGCATTTATAATACATATTCCACATATACGTCTTCTCGTGTCGCGCAAGACGTTAGCCGCCGCGAGGAGGACAACTTTAGCAGCGCGCTTAAGCCTGGCACACATTGCCATGGCAGCGTGGTACACACAACACACACACACACACATACACACACACTTGCTTGCCACGACTCAGGCCTCCTACTCAGCCGTGTGTGCATTTTACGCTATATGCATTCTTGATGCGGAGCTCTGTGCATGTTTGCTCATAAGATTTCAGCTCTCGTGCTAGAAGAGCCGCCACCCACTCACGCCCCCATTGCTTAACGAAAATGTCAATAAATGCCCGAGAGCAACTCATTAAGAGATTAAGCAACAAGGTGAAACGATTCTCATGATCATCAGCAGCAGCAGCAACAACAACAGCAACAACAACCATCAAACATCCAGCATCAGCTGTAATCATCAGCATCGTTGCCTGACTGACTTTTAATTTGTGCCGCGAACTTCAACTTTTCAAATATTTCTGCAGCTGCATAAACCACACAGGAAAACAAGCAAAAACAGCACAGAGAGAGGAAGAGCGAGAGTGGGAGAGGGAGAGGCGTGGCAGCAACAATCAAAGTTGAGTTGCATGTCTCAAGAGTGAGCGAAAAGCGCAAACTTTTCGCAGTCGAACAGCAACAAAAAAGCGGCGAATGTGAAGGGCCAGATAAATGGCCAAAGGGCTGGGCCAATGGGCCGCCAAGTCGACCACTTCAATGCCATGTGGGCGTGGCAGAGAGGGGGTCGCTCTTTTCGCACTATGCACTTGAGCCACTTTCAAGGCGCATTATCTGCGGGCGTTTCTATTTTTTTTTTCCAACTTTTAAAATGTATTGTGTGTGGGTGTGTGTGTGTGTGTGTTTCAGTTTCAGCAAAAGCTAAGCGAACCTGAAGAACAGATAAAGAGAGCAGAAAAATGTTTGCAGCGAAACAGGAAATGGAAGGAGAACTAATTGAAATACCTGATGATAACAAAAGGAAATGAGCTAGCTCTATGGAAATGAAAATATATTTCTAAAAATAAATAAGTAAATATATATCTAATTTTAATCTGAAGTATGTTGAAATATAGGCTGACTTATAGACTCTTACATAGTAGTGGTACTATTAGTAGTATGTGTTAGTAGTAGGAGTATTAGCAGTAGATGTAGTAGTAGTAGTATTAGGAGTAGTAGAAGATGGAGTAGTAAAAGAAGAAGTAGTAGAAGATGTAGTAGAAAAAGTAGAGTTAGTAGTAGATTTAGTAGTAGTAGGATTAGGGGTAGTTATAAAAGTAGCAGTAATTGTATGAGTAGTAGTAGTAGTAGTAGATAAAGTTATAGTAGAAGTAGGAGTAGGTGTTGTAGTAAAAGTAGAAGTAGTAGTAAAGGTAGTCATAGGAGTAGAAGAAGAGCTGTACTTGTATGAGTATGAGAAGAGTTAGTTATAGTAGTAGTAGGATTGTAGTAGTAGTGGTATTAGTATATGGAGTTGTCTAAGCAGAATTAGTAGTAGATGAAGTAGCAGGTAGAGAAGTAGAAGTAGTAGTAGTTGTATGAGTAATAGTAGAGTAGTAGTAGTAGAAATAGTAATAGAAGTGGGGGTAAATCAAGTAGTAGAAGTAGCAGTAGTTGTAAGAGTAGTAGTAGTAGTAGTAGGAGTAAAAGTAGAAGTAGTAGGCTATTCCTAGTAGTAGTAGGGGTAGTAGTAAATGTAGCAGTAAGAGTAGAAGTAGTAGTAGATGTAGTAGTAGGAGTAGTAGTAGGAGTAATAGTAGTAGTAGGACAAGTAGTAGTAGTAGAAGTAGGGGTAGCAGTAGATTTAGCAGTAAAAGTAGAAGTAGTAGTAAATGTAGTAGAAGTAGAAGTAGAAGTTACTTCTAGTAAGAGTAGTAGTAGGAGTAGTAGTAGTTCATAGTAGTATATATTGCGCTCTACCTTACATTATTTGTTTTTTGGGCAGCCCAAAATTTAGCTAATTTTGCTTCTTCCCTATTTCTGTCTAAAGAGAAGATCCAAGGCAAGTATTATCATATTTCATTTCATTGTATTGATAAGAGTTATTATATGATTTGTCGAGCAAGTTGAACAAACACCCTCAAAATATTCCTAAATAATAATAATTTATAAACCAAACTCAAGTCTAAACAAGTGCAAACTGAATTTAAATAACTTTTCACGCGCAGCACAAGACTGAAATAAATAAATCTCAAAAAGTTCATGTGAAATGAGTCCAGCATGGAGCATAAAACTCGCCGCTAAACAATTCCAGAAACTTTTGCAAAATGATATAACAACTTTTAAAACATGTGTCCGCACACATTCAGTTTGTTTTGGTCTTTAAGAATTTATAGTGTTGCATGTCTTCTCTAAAGAACTTGGCACCTAATGAGCAGAGATTTCTACCCATTGCATAAATCACATGCATCAAAATGTTTTCAATAGGCGTGCATTCTCTATTCTCTATAGTCGCACATATAAATCTATTTATGTGTCGAGTGTGTGTCGAGAGAGTGTGTGTGTGAGTGTGTGTGTGTGTCTATTTAAGTCTGTCTCTTGGTTGCTTTGTCTGTCTGCAGAGCAACCCAATTTCCGGTTTTTCTTAAGCATTGCGCACAATTGCAAAGGCACACACAAAGCGCCATAAACAGTGTATGTGTGTGAGTGAGTGTGAGTATGTGTCTGTGGTTGTCTTTGTGTGTGTGTGTGTGTGTGTGTGACCGCAGTCCTAGTGCACTGCACTGCAGTTGGCCTGGGGCGCATGTGTTCCAATTCAGTTACACATAGATCCACACACACACACGCATATATAGACCCAACACACACACACTCACACCGAGCACATGCTCATTAAAATGACGCCCAGTCAGTCTGTATGCTTGACTCAGGCTTGTAAATGTATTATGTGAGCTGTGCACGGCTCATATTTAACTTTTTCATAAAAGAGAAATGGCGTTAAATAAATGCCCGAGCAGAGTGCAAGACTCCGACTCCCTCTGGCTCTACTACTACGGCTACTATTTCCGTGACATTTTCCACTTACCGTGACACGACACGCGGCAACCAATCGCCGCCGCAATATTTGGCCAGAACCGGATCGTTAGTGGAGCTGCCATCGTAGAATATCAGATGATCGCGCTCGCCCGTACAGTCCGACCAGGCGCGTATGGAGCGCGAGGTCTTATTAAAGCTGGCAATGGAGCTGCAAAACAAGAATCGATTCGCCATTTAGTATAAAAATATATGCATACAAATAGACCGGAAAAAAGAGTGAGGTAAATGGCAGAGAGCAAAACAAACTTAAATTGCAATCAGCGCTAAATGCAATGCAAACATTTGCATTTCGCAAAGCCTCAAATAAAAACAACAGCGAAACTGTCGAAGCTGTCAAAGTTAATAAAGCTGCCCGGGCGACAATTGTTGATGGGGAATTATACGACTATTGGATGCTGTATGGATGACAGTAGAGCTAGCTAACACTTATTTTAGTTGTAGGTGTAAAAGATCACTGGGGCAACTTCGTACGTGGATTTAGACCTTTTGGACAGCTAATATTTTTTTTTTTTGTTATATATAAAATATCCCCTATAACCTTGCTTTAGTTAAAATCTATAATTATACATCCTCTTAGCTATGCATAATTTTATTGATATTTTCCATAGCCAAATAAAATAAAGAAAATAACTATAAGATAATCTCAGCATATTTTATAAATAATAAAGTAATTAAATTTCAATAATTTCGGGCTTTAATTAAGTTAAGCTTTTGGGAGGCGTTAAGAAAATATTTCAACATATTTCATGAAAATTGAAAAATACAGAGTATAAATTTATAAAATATTTAATAAATTCAAAAAATAAAAAACAGGTAATAAATTTAGCTAATGAATATAATAAAAAAAAATTAATTATTATAATAATAATAAATTAAATAAATAATAAAAAATATAAGAAAGAAATTTTTAGAATATGTCACCTATAAAAAAGTATAGTATATATATAGAATATTTTATATAAATAAAAAATGAGTTAATAAATCTAAAAAAATTCTGTTTTTAATGAAGTTTTACCGTTACAGATATATAAATATATATGATATATAAATACAAAATATATATTACAATGTTTTGATAATAAGCATAAAAAATAGCTGCAAGATAATCTGTAAATATAATAATCAATAAATATTTCATATACATGATAAATATACATATATATTATAACAAATTAAACTAATTTTTGTTGCAAATAAAAAAGCTACAAGATAATCGGTCAATATTTTGATTAATAAATATTCCATATAAATAAATAATATATATGTACAATAATATGTCTGACTTATTTTTGTTGCATATATAAATAAAATGTTAGCTAATCTGTAAAGATTTTGTATAAATATAAATATTAAATAAATGTAATGTTTAAGTTCTACAATTTATTCTTATAGCTTATTAGTTGTCCATAATTAAGCTATAAGAATAAATTGCTGAATTTTAACATCAATTCACTACATTTATTTATTATATCTAAGCACAAATTAGTTGAATTTAATTATTTATTTTGTATGTCAAATATTTACATATAAGTAGAAAATCAATAAATTCAACTAATTTGTGTTTGGATTAAGTAGACTTTAAATAAGCTGCAATTTAATATTTCATTTATATAAAATAAATATAAATTTATTATTAATTAGGTTGCTTCTAAGGTAGCGAATCTATAAATATTTCATTATATTATAAATATATATAAACTCTCTCCAATCTCCTCATTCACTTTGCTCAGGTGCTCAGCCGACCTAGTGTATGCTTGGCAATCGCGACATTTAATACACATTTTGCATTTGAAATGGGCTTCAGTTAAAGCCGCATTCGTTCAGCTGTCAGTTGTAGTTGTTGCATGCCACACATGCAGCTTTCGGTCTGCTTCTATCTAATTTGATATGCAAACATTTAATTGGAATATACAAAATACATGACCAACAATGGCAGCATTCGCTCATTCACTCATTCACCCATTTACCCATTCACCCATTCATCCATTCACTCATTCATGCCATTGGCCGCTTACAGCGCTTACAGCTAGAGCGATAATGTCGAGTGTTGCAAGTCGCATTGCAATTTGCCAAATTGAAATTTGTCATACGAAGGCGACACGCTCCACTCGATCCACAAAATGCTAATGCTTATTTAATGTGCCCTGCATGCACACGGACGGCATAGCATTTTGGGTATTTCAATAGAAAATCCACTAGCTCTCTCTCTCTCTTTTTCTCTCCAACTACGGCTTTCACTTACCGCTTGACTAGGGCTTTGTGCTGATTCTCTTGGCTGACGGCAATCATGGCATGCTTGCTGGTTGGCACTTCTTTCTGGCGTATTGTCCAATAGCAGGTAACATTCCTTGGATACATACCAGGATAATTTGGACTTTGCAGGCGACACTTGTTACGATAGCATTCATCGAATTGCCTCGTACAATAGGTGCCGGGTGTGACACGTCCCAATTCCAATGGCTTATCGGGCAGTCCATACCTGTAATGTAGAGTCCACATACCATTAGTACAAACATATACATATATATAGACTGTGTGTGTGTGTGTGTCTGTGTGTGTGTGCATTCCAGGTGTCGTTGAGTATGCAAGTTTAGCATTTAATTTAGTTTAGCTGCCTCCATTCAGGCACTATATTTGTTTGGTATTTTGGCTGCATGTCCGTCCGCCTCCAACCCCGCCCGCCTAGCCTGTCCTGCCTGCAATTTGCATAAAATACATCCTGGCATTTTAAGTTGAAAATCCTCATTTGGCCCAGTGTTTTGGCTATTGTTTGGTTTGCTAATGGTCCGTACGGTCGGACATACATATCCCCCTACTCCCCCTTGCGCCCACACATTCAATGCAATTCTCGACTGCAGTCAGCAGCAGCCCCAACCTCGCTCGTAAATATTATTTTTCCGTGTAAATTGTATGAAATTTGTTGAGGCGTAAAAATACATTTCAATTTATAGCACTATTGCCATATCCGGCACAACAGCAGCCAACTGCCAGCCGGCAACTGCCAACTGCCAGCTGGCAGGAGGCAGGATGCAGGAGGCAGCTGGCAGGAGGCAGGAGCAGGCAAAAGAGTCACAAACAATGAACGCGACACCTATACGAAAATTTGACACACGTCTGAGCACAAATGGATTGCAGCATGAATCGTATATGGCATGCCACGTAGGAGCTCCAGCTAGAGTGGGAGTTGGAGCTGGAGCTGCTCATGTTTTATGCAGCATTTCAACAAAAGTGGCATTGTTCGAGCAACTACAAGGATTTAGCGACGACTCCGGCTCCGGCTCCGGCCGTGCCAAACGAGTGCGTTAAAACAAAGGCCAATCCTGTCAGCCATCACAGCTCGCCGTTAACATTAAGTCCACCCCCCTCCCCGCATTTTCAAGGTTGCCTCAAATGATAAATTACAGTAACTGGACTCGCTGCAATACAAAACTTAGATATTCTATAAACTTCTACGAATTTCTTGATTACATTTCGACAGAATTCTATTTCGGGCAGGCCAAAGAATGTCAATGCCAGAGTTTAGTTTGCTCTAAACTTCAGTTCTGATTAAAGTAAAAGCTGTTGAAGAGATTCTTTGATAGAAATTGGGGCCATAATAATGTTAGATATTTGCCTGTAATTTTAGCTAAACTAGATTAAAGGAAAAAATATATTTGTATATAAAAAATAAATAGATTTATTCAGCCTTAGCATGGAAAATAAAATATAAATTTTCGATTAATTTTTAGGTTCACAATTGCTAAAAATTCAGGTAATGCAAAATATTAAATTAATATAAAAAAAATATTAAATTAATATAAAAAAAAATCATATTTATTGATATTATCCTAGTCTAAATGAATTAATTTCATCGATTTTTATTCACATATACAAAATATTTATTGCTTATTAGCTTTAAGTGGTAATTTTAAGGTATATTAAAATACAGTTTTTAAAATACTGGTTCTTTGTAAAATTTGTTTAATAAATAAATCTTTAATTAGGAAGAATTAATAATATTTTCTTTTCTTTAACATAATTTTTTTTTTTAAATAAATAAGAAATTATAAATAGAGTTTTCCTCAGATGCTCATATTTTATTTCCTGCAAATAAATTTACCTTTTTTTATGAAAATAAAAAATGAACTTTTGATATATGTATATAATTAATAATATATAAATTATTATAATTTTTTTTTTTAATTTCTTCTATATAAACTCATGAAATTATTAATTCAATTTTAACTCTCATAAGTCATGAGTCACAACTTTACTTTATTTATTTAGACGTAAGATATAACATAAAATGTTTTCTTACTATTATTATGGCTCTTTTTTTTTTTTTTTTTTTTTTTTTTTGCTGCTCAGACAATTATTTTATACCTACTATTTTCTTAAATCCCATTCTACCTATTCCTATCCTTAAACAATTGCATATCAGTAAAAAGTTTTCTATTATTGTTTTTTTTTCTTCTCTTGTCCACTTACCTGACAACTGCATCGGATTGGCTTATAAATTTATATCTGATGCTGAACTCAAAGGGTTTCTCATCTCGTAAATTGCGTGGCGGATGAAATACCTGCAAAGGGAAGAGGAAGAAAACGTAGATGTCTTATAAAAGCAGGCAAGACTTGCAATGCCAATGAGAGCGCAGCGCAGAATGAGCTGGAAATTGAGTACTATATATATATATACAGTATACAGTATATAGCATTGAAAATGCTGGCAAATGCGACAGGAAATGTAGTGCCGTCAATTGTATGTGAGGACACAAAGGGACATCGATCCGGCAGGGCCAATGCTGGGCCAAATTGAAATATTTATTTGCCGAAAACTGAGCGACAGCTGCCAAGACAAAGAACAGTTTCACTATGGCTCAAGTTGAACGATCTCTGATTGAACTCGGCCAAGGGTCGATGCAGCAAAAAAAAAAAAAAAAAAAAAAAAAACAAATAAAAATAAAGAAGAAAAAGAAAAAAAACAGATAAAAATATAAGGAGGAAGCAAGAATAAGAAGAGGCAGAGAAAACTGTCATTTGCACACGCAATTTTCTTTTAATTATGCAATCTGCAATCTGCGCCTTCGACCACGTCAACTCATCGTCACTTGAAGCAATTTGTTGCAGCAGCAGCAGCAGCAGCAGGAGCAGGAGTAGGAGCAGGAGCAGAGTCCAGGTCTGGGCCCATTCGAGCAATCCGATTGGAGCATGAATTTTTATTAATTTTCATAATTTATGCGCTGGCGCTTTCAGCAAGCTGGCAGGCTGGCCGCTGTCCGCTGTCCGTGGCCGTTGTCCATTTGCTTTTATGGCCGCACGTTTATTTAAATATTAATCAAAAAGTGGCAATGGCTGCTCAAGTAAACATTACGCATACGCCACGTTAACGCAAAAGTTGATCAATTTAAAATTACAAAAACACAAAAATGAAAATGAAAAGCAAAGAAAATTAAGTAATAACAAGAACTATTCACTGTACGCTCTCAATGGCGCCCATCGATATTTTCAATTAGTTTCGGCAGCGTTTTCATAGCTCGTGTCAACTTTTGAAATATCTGCAATATTATGGATGTCACACCCAGCCGCAGCCGCAGGTAAACAACGGCAATATTAACTGTATGTTTGGCCGTTCTGTACTCACCTTTACTGATGCTGTCACCGTGGATGTTTCGCTGAAATATAATTGCGGCCCGGTGGCCTTGCCGCACCAGGAGCCGCCCGTGAATGGACGCCCCAGTTCGCTGAGCTGTCAAGTAAATAAATAAAATTTAATTAATTAAAAATCAAGTTTATTTCGCACACAGAATGTTGTGAAGGCAATTTCGCTCTTCTTCAATTTGATATAAACATATGTGCGTGTGTGTGTGTGTGTGCAGCAGAAGATTTTTAAAGCTCGATCGATAGGCTCATGCATGCATCAATATATGCATTTAAATTTATACAAATGTTTGTCGAGCAAGTGAAAAATAAATAAATATGCGGAAGCAGCAACTGGCCCTACGACACACCGATCCATCGGCCCTGGCCCCGCCCAGTGCACGCCCAGTTCCGCTCGGGCATCTGGCATGGGTAATGGATTATGACTGTTGTATAAATTTTTATTTGTTGGCGCCATTTGCCGCTTGCTGCGCTTAATATTTGATTGTTTTCCTTTTCACAATTGCCACTGCCACAGTCGCTGCAACTGCCACTGCAGCTGGCAGCTAGAAAAATGAATGCTGCAAAAAAGTGTAGCATACATTTGTGGGCCAAGCGCCAATTTCAGCTTACGCTAAAAACTGCTGGCACTTGCCGAAGGTGCAGCAAACCGAAACAACAACAGCAATAACAGTTAACTCGATTGCTGGATTGCCTATATATTTCCAATAAAGAGTGGAATGAGTGATGCAGCAAAGGCTGTGAACTGGGCTGCGTGGAAGCGGGATACTTTATGTATTTAAATACGAGCTTGAAGGAGAATTTAAATTAAATTGCATATTTTTTAATTTATGATATATTTATTTTAGCCGATGCTTCATTTAATTAGTTTAAAATATTTTTGTAGAGAATGAAAGAATTTCAGGCTATCAGTTGAACAGTTTTATTCACCTCTAAACTTGTTAAATAAAAATTTAATAGATTTTAAGTAAACTGCAGATTTAAGCTTTAGAAAGTTAAGGCATCTGAGTCTATTTCGCAGATCAGCGATCTGTAGGCATAGAAATGTAATTGCTCGTGGTCACAGGCTCAAGCGAAGCAATATATCAAGAAAGCTGCTAAGCTTGGCAGAGAACTCTATTTTGAATCATTAATGAAATCATTAATAAAGGAAGAAATAAACGCATTGATTATTTAATAAAATGAGCATATGTATTTTTATTTATTTATTTTATTTTTTTATTTTTTTTATTTATTTATATACAAATCTTGATGCCTTTCAAAATGGGAAATCAGTGTAGTAGAATATTGTTTAAATTGTATTTTTCTATTTATTATTAATTTTTTATTTATTTATTTATTTAATTGAAATTTTTATATATATATTTTTGTACTATTTTATTCGTATTTTATTATTATTATAATTATTTTTAAATAATTTATTGGTATCTAATTTATGAATTATTGTAGTTTAATTTTATTTAATTTACTGAAACTGTCAAACAACTTTTTAAATTTATTTTAATTCATTAATTAATTATGAATATTTTTAATTTTTTGTAATTTGTACCTATTCTAATAATTGAGGCATTTATTTAATATAATGTAAATTAGTAGAAACTAAGAGTTTATATTACAGAAGCCGATAGCCCCTGCTGCCAGTACTTATCCCTAAGATTGATTTTTATATTAATTCTAACTATATTAATTATAAGACCTATTCACGTGTTGCCACCATTTAAAGCAAATTGATGGCAATTTGCATGATGTAATCTTAATATTCCATACAAAAAGTCCTTAGCTGAGTGTTTTCTATATAAATAATTCCACAAAGTGCTCTGCATGTATTTGTGCCCTCTTTCGCTCTACCTAGAGCCTATTAGCACACAGCCTATGAAGTTTTACCGAATCTACCCCATATGGAGCACAGTGTGTGAGTATTCCTGAGAAAAATTGCCCACGCTGGCAATTGACATTCATTCATGGGCTGAGCTGTAATGTCGCTAATAGCAACCAAGAACGGTAAACCACATCGTCAACGGTGTACGTAGGGGAAACCAACAGCAATTCCTTTTTTTTTATGCTCCAGATTTGCCTGTGATCCATTCGTTCCAGCCAGCAGGCAGTGTACAGTGGGCAGTGGACCGTGAGCGGGGGCTGTGGGGCGTTGGCTGACGGTTCATTAGCACAGTGGGGCTATTGCTTCTCGATTGGCAATGATTATGAATGGGGCTGGGGTTCCAATTGATTAAGTTTTTAGTTAATGGGTTATTTGACCGGGCAGGTCGTTCATGTCGTGCTCGTTGTCGTTCCACAGCAGTGCAGCTGGTCATGTGCTGCGGTTGCTGCTCCAACGTTCGCTCGCTCCGGTCCCCCAAAGCTCAAACAACAATTTTTGCTGTAATTGCAAGTCGCCAGAGCTCTGGCCAATATTTGTAGCTGGTTAGAGTTGCAATTCACTGCTGTCATATGAAATGGCCTCGAATAGAAGCAGCAGGAGGAGCAGCAGGAGCAGGAGAAGCAGAAGGAGGAGCAGGAGCAGCAGGAGAAGCAGCAGGCCAACAGGCCTGACTGCCTGGCATAATGGTAATTTTCTGATTTCGATTTTGTGTAAATTCATTGCAAACTCTCTCTATCTCTATCTGTCTCTCTCACTCACTCTCTCCATCTCTCTTTTGCTATCTGTTTTTGTTGGCTTGGCCCCTTGCCGTCGGCAGGACTCTATCCTGTGCATCGTCATCATCATCATCATCATCAGCATCATTAGCATCAGCATTATTATCAACAACATCGTCGTGTCCATTGTGTGCAGCGGAGCGTTATTAGCATCGACTTCATAACGAATTATTGGAATTTCATTTCTCTGCTATCTCTCCTGCTGCTGTTTTTGTTGGCTCTTGTGGCGTTTTGTTTGATTAGGTGTTGGTTTTAAATTGATTGAATTATTATTGCGGTCAGTTGGTGCAGGCGGCAGCATGCATAAATCTAGCAGCCCTGCTTGGCTTTAAAATTGGAGGTAAATGTCGGTGTCTTTAAGCTGGCTCTGGCATAAGCTTTTAGGTAAATCAAAGTGCATTCTGTAATCGCTGTGGATTGCTGTTGCTATTGTAAACGCATGCTTAGCTGATTAAACTTGGCTCCGATTCAGATGGTTTCAGTCAACACGATGCAGCCAGCCATTCCATTCCATTGTGCTGGCTCCGTCTCCGCATCATTTAAACAATAGCCGATAAAAAGTTTTATCCGCACAGTTGTGCGGGTGTCGACGACGTCGTCGCTTCATAATCTGCTAACAATAAACAAAAGCCGCTAGCAGACAGAGGATGGTGGCAGAGCGAGAGCGAGAGAGTGGGAGTGTGAGTGTGAGTGGCAGAGGGAGAAGGAGCCAGTGCAATGGCTGGCCGTAACTATTCTTCTTCTACGCTTAATTGTGCAACAATTTAAGCGCATAATGACATATTTCGCTTCACTGTTTACAGTCAACCAGCCCGATGTCTCCCCCGCTCCAGGCTTGGCCAACTGTCTGCATTTCTGTTTGATTTACTGTAATTTAAAACATTTGCCACAGTTTTTTTTTTTTTTTTTTTTTTTTTTTTTTTTGGCTGCTATTAAAAAATCATTAAATGTAAATTATGGACCAAGGCGAAGCTTTTAATTTGCAATTCAATGCGAGCCTGAATAAATAAATAAATATATTAAGAAGAGCAAAATAAACGAGTTATATGCACTTGACTTTCAAATGCTCTATGAGTTGTGCTTATGCTTCATAACGAAAGTGAAATGAGCATATTGGTTTTCTTCAGTCTGTCCGTATGTATTAAAATCTTAGCTTAGTTTAATCTTTTATAATAAATACAATTCTCAAAATTAATTCCAAGCCGAGCTGACGCTTCAATTTAATATGTAATTAGTTAAATCTTTCCCTTTCTATTTTTCTTCTCCACAGTTCGCCAATATCTGTTGATCGTTTCTGCTGTCTGTATATAAGTGCCTTTCACTCACACTCTAGGAACAAACGCTGAGAGCGCACACTCGATCGCCCAGCAACCGTTTCATTTTTGCTTTGTTGCGCTCTCGCTGTCCTCTGACCGTTTCGTTTCGTTTCGTTGCAAAACGTCAGCCGTGTATGTATTAGTATGTGTGCGAGTATTGTCTTCGCTAGCGTTAGTAAATTGAGAGTGTGCATGTGTAAATGTGAATGTGTTTGTGATTTGCCGTTTGAGGTCAGCTCACTTTGACTTTCTTTGACTCTCATTGCACGAACGTCGCGTCTCTCCCTGAACGATGTTCGTGTATTGAGCGTCACACGAATAGTTCAACTCAAGCTGCTCGGTTGTCCGCCACTGTTAAAAGACACTATGACTCGATCGTGGTTGTCCGCTGCTTAGAGCGTGAGCGAGATGGCACTATTGAGTGAGTCTCTTAACATTAACGAGTGAGCTTGATTTTGTTTTCGGCTGATCTCGCTGGGAGAGCATAAATAATAAAACGCTCAATTGTTTTGTTGTCCAACTGGTCATTTTACTAATATTTCTTAACTATTAAATATGGGATTAAATATATATTTAATTTAAAATTTAATGTTAATCTGGTCTCGCGAGTCACGAACGAGTATTCTGCAGTCGTTGGCGCCCGACTGTAAAGTTCTTATTCGCTCTGCTTATGCCTTGCCTTGCCTATTCCCGCCATGAAATGGAATATTACTCAATGGCCCACATCCGATTTAACTCATGCCTCTCACAGAGCATAAGACACAGAAAAACTTGCTAACCTTTTCTCTCTTTTTTTTGCCTTTTCTTTTCGCTTTGGCTATGACTCGTAAATTTACGACACAAACAAATGCCGCCAAAGGGCAGAGCACGGCAGAGCAGTAAAGGAGCAGCAGTGAAAAGAATGTCCAAGAAGTTTGCTAACTTGAATTATGAGCTTGTCTATGGCACACACACACACACACACACACACACGCACATGGAGAACTACTTGCATGGCTGTATATATACATAGATATACATATTTATAGATAGAAGAGCTTAAACTGCCATTGACAAACTGGGGCTGTTGTTCTTCTCTTGGCCGAGCAGCAGAACGAACCATGAAGACTAAGCGGATGTTATGATTGTCAAATATTGAGTCATTTACTCAAGCTGCCCTGACCAGGCCAAAGGATAACGTGGGTTGGCCAGCTAGCTAGTTGTTGCTGTTGTTGTTGTTGTTGTTGTTGTTGATTTAGGTTAATACGTTTATGCATAAACTTTGTTATTTATGATTAACAATATTAGCAAATAAACAATGCAAATGGCGTTGCTGGCCCCCCAGTCGCTGGTCAAGTTTAAAGCAAAAAGTGCTGTTGAATTATTCAGGCAGATCCGGAGCGAGCGAGAGAAAAGGTCACACCCTGAACTTTCAGCCTCCTGCAATATGTATGAGGCGAACTGTCTAACTAAATTGAATAACTGATTAAACTCTTACTTTTGGGCCCAACCCATACACACACACCCATATATATGTATATATACATATATATTACAGAAATCACATAGGTAGATTGGAATAAATATGAGATGGTCAAGAATTTATGTTGCCGGGCCATGACACGAATAATTTATAAGGCTCGACCGGTTCGGCTGGCGCGCAGAACAGAAAAAAAAAAACACACACACACACACACACTGAAACTGCAAAATAACTGCGAATAAAAACTGAAACCACGTCAGCAGTTAAAAATGTTTGCCTTAAATAAATAAAAACAGGCGCCGCAGCGCGCCAGCTACGATAAAGCTCCGGCCGCGAATCCGCCGGACGGGCTGAAGCGCCCAGAATGACAACACAAACCTGCGGTTAGTTACGAGTTTATAAAACTGCAACAAGGCTCGCACCAAAAAAAAAATCGCAAATATTTAACTGCATTTTAAAAACCCACAAAAAAAAAAAGATAAAATGTAAAATCAAGAGGAAGAAGATGATGAAAAAACGCGGCCAGTTTCCATCATTCCTCAAATCCGCCGCACAACCAGTTCTATTCTAGCCGCAGTTTTTCGTACATACATATGTCAAGTGCCAAATGAAACCTCAACAGACGAGCTGACCGAGCGGCGAGGGACAGCCGGACACAGCTGCCAGTCCAGGCCAGGCCAGGCCAGGCCAGGCCGATCTGGATGAGCTGGATGGAGCTGGACAGCACCACAAAATGTCAGCGCACGCCCCACGCTTGTTCACAATTTATTGTCACAAAGTGAGGGGCGTGGCATGGCATGGGAGAGCAGCACAAAACTGCAGCATCAGTCGCCAGCGCTAAACTAATAAAGGACCACGGAGCAGCCATAGGGAGCAGCGAGTCCGGAGAGGAGAGGAGCAGAGTTCACTTTCAATTGGACAGCAAAACTGCGAGCAATAGGAAACATACAATACACATGTTAGCATGTTGGCGGAGTCCAAAAGTGAAAGAGGGTGAGAGCGGGAGGGTGAGCAGAGCACGGAGACGGAACTATAAGAGATAATGTCAGCTGAGCAAAAGGGAAATCCTTATGCACTTATCTCAACAGACAGCAAAGACAGAAATAGCAGCTGCAATCCGAAAATCTTGGAGAGACTTTAATGAAAGCCAATGGGAAAACTTTTGGCTAAGTATTATTGAAAATATTTAAATTGAAATAAATAAATAAAATATAAAATTGGATTGCATTGGAAAATGTTTAATTATAATCTTGAAATATATTAAATAATTAAACTAGATATTTTAGCCATTGTGATATGGAAAATCTTAATGAATGAGAGAGAGTAGAAGACATTATACCCAAGAGATAGCAGAGATAAATACTAGTGTTTTAGTATGGGTGCTCGAGCTCTTAAAGACTTCTTCAGGGCGTAGTATTCATATTTAAGTGTGTGTGTTTGATGTGGCCAAGGGTCTATTATTTTATTCTATTTCATTAAGCTATTTGCTCTCTAAAGATGGTGTGCTAAAATATACTTTTATATTAAATCATTTAATTTTTTTTTAAATAATTAATTTATTTATTTATTTATTTTTATTTTTATTTATTTATTTATTTATTTTTTTTTTTTTTTTTTTGATAAGAATTAAATTTTTAATTAGAACAAAGAATTCAAAAACAATTTTCAGGCTTAGCAATGGTCTAATTCAAATACGAATGAACTCACTAAGGAACCGTTGGAATCACTTAAGCACATAAAAATACATATATACATCCCTATTCTTATATTCGTATTAATTAAAAAAAAAAAAAAAAAAATAAAATAAAATAAAATAAATAAATAAATTCACAATATTTGTACTATATAGGGAAACAGTTTTTTGTTTTTTTTTATTTTTTTATTTTTATTATTATTAACACAGAAATTTAAATTAAGAGAAGGATTTTTTTATTGGATTTATTGCGATTTTCCATTTAGCGGGGTACAAATTATCGAGACTCCACGGTATCATTAAATTTCTTTTATTTTATTTAATTTTCTATTTATTTATTTCATTTAATTATTTCCTAATTTTATTTCTCACTTATTTATTTCGATTCCACATTTTCTTACTTATCTATTTTATATTCCCATTTTATTTGCCGTATATTTAGTTTCAATTCAATACATTCAATTATACATCCAATTTTATTTACGATTTATTTATTTTCATTTAAATATATTCAAGTTGTATTTTCTATTTTCAATTATTTACGAATTGAGCTTTCGTCTTAGAATTGCACTGGGATGCATAATCACACCTGAAGCTATTACAGCAGAGCGGAGCTGTCCTTTGTGTGAACTCTTGGCCCAAAAGGGAAAAACACTTTGCCCTCTGCAATTCAACACTTTGGCCCTTTTTGCGATGGCTCCACTGGTTCGTGGCTGGCACCGCAATCCGCAGCCCGCAGCCCGCAGTCCGCAGTGCGCACAACTTAAGCTTTGAAATTAATTCGAAAGGTAGATTAAGGCAACTAAAAGCGCATGCAAAGTGCACAACCGAAGCTTTATATACATATATATGTATACATATACACATACATATATACGAACTATATTGAATGCTGACTACAGACCCATGCTCCAGTCCCAGTCGATGGTTATTTCGCTTTTAGTGCTGCAAAACTCCATTTAATGTAATGCAGCAGCATCAGATTATCAAAGTACACACACACACACACACACACACACTTATATGTATATCTACCGATTTTTGTTTGGTATACGAGTTTATGGCATACATACAACTGTACAAATGTATATTTGAACATATTGCACAAGTCAATTACAGGGATTTGGTACATTTTATTTGGCCAGTGCCCGTGCCGGGGCTTTAGTTTTATTTTAGCTATACGGAATGTCAAAGGCGGTGGATGGGCTGGGTTGGGTTGTCTCGACAAAGTAGCAATGTCAACAACGTGGAGCCGCAAAAGTTGTGATAAAAATATATGTATGTTAAATAGTTTGCTGTTCCTTCGCTTCGCTTTTATTCCACTCCCTCTCTTCTTCTTCATCTTCTTCTTCTTTTTTTTGTGCCGAACAGCACTCAAACTTCAATCTGCGGACACAAGACGTCGGACATGAACACAGCAATGGTGTACAGCACACACACACGCACACACGCACACAGAGAGTGAGAGAGAGCGGGAGGTAGCGAGTCGGACAGGCGCACAATTCAATTCAATTTGCTGGGCTAATGTGGCATTTGTCAACAGAGCCAACAGAAAATTACAGAATTACTCGGACATTGATTGAATCGAACAGAGTTGAGAATCGAGGCGAGGCGAGGCGGGGCAGGGCGAGGCGACGGTCAAGCTGGAGGCGGACGTGGATATAGTACGACTCAGCTGCCATTACACCCCACCTACCACCCTCCCTTCCCCCCTCCCCCGCTGTGTGCGCTTGGCTGGCATAAAATTATAGCTGAACGCAACGTTCAATAGCAACGGCAAATGGAGTGCAAGATGAACGTGGCTTACGTAATATTCAATTCAAATTTTAATAAATTAAATTTGCACTCACCTGCATGAAGCCCTCGGGACAGCCGGGCAGCTCGCCGGTCGGGCTCAGATTCGTTTCATAACCATCCACATCCGTATCGACCATGCCCTCATCGAAGCGGCCCACCGTAAAGCCATCAAATATGATCTGCAAATGGTTGGAGAAATATATTCATAAACATATACATACACAGATAAAAATGCAATCAATGTGTGTTTGTGTGTGTGTGTGCATAGACGACTGCAAGATGCTCTGCTCAATTTGTTGAAAGACTTGAGAGACTTGACTGCAGCTGAGCATGCTCAACGTTGTTTGCTCTGGCAGTGTATTGAAGTTATATATTTTATGTTAGTTTAGCTCTACACACGTTAAAGTTATGCAAATGAAATTCAATTGCGAAATGGCAACCTTAAGCATGCCCATGTCCACGCCCATGCCCATGCCACGCCCATGGCCTCTGTTTGCATATTAGATTGGCCATAAAAAAAGACAACACACAGCAGGCGCCAAAGAGCACACGCCGCAAGTGAAGCGAAGGTCAGGACGGACTCCAGAGCAGCAGGCAGCGAAAATGAAGAAAAAGAGAGCGAGAGAGAGACAGAGAGAGAGAGAGAGAGAGAGAGAGGGGGAGAAAATTAAGAGCGTTGCAGTCGAGCACTACCGACTGCAGAATACTCATTCATGATAAAAATGCCGACAGCTCAAAGTAATTGGGCGAAATTTATATTTTTCCAATTACTATAGAGAAGCTCGTCAAATTTTTCATAATTAATAACAATTTATCTATAAAACTATAGAAAATATTATAAATAAACTATATTAAGTTGCTTCTAAAGGTGTCAAAAATTTTCTAATATACCAACTTAAGAAATTGAAAAAACAAAAAAAAAATTTAATAGAAAGTAAAATAATGGATATATATATTTATATTTCACCCGCTTTGCTAGGAGTCCAGGGCCTGAGTCATAACTTTTTATACCCTAAGCCCATTGAAAATGGGAAATCAGAGCATAATATTTCGTGAGTATATGTATATGTTTATTTTCAGCTACCGAGCCCTTTAAATAATAGAAAAAAATATTAACCGATATGCTATACTAGTAAACATATTAAGACAATATGTATATACTTATTCTATATACAGTATAATCCCGATAATTCCAAATAGCAAGGGGATCAGTTTTATTTTATTTATTTATTTTTTTTTTTTTATTTCGATTTACACTGAAATTCAAATTATCGAGAATTATCGGGAACGAATTTCTTTCAAGTGGATCGAATTTGTTTTCGATGTATCGCGATTTTCAATTTAGCGGGGTACGAAGACTATATATACATATGTATATACAAATTTTCAATACTGTTCTACGGACAGACAGACAGTTTGACAGACGAACAGATTAAGACGTCTATTGAACGAAACCAATATACCCATTTCACTTGCCTGAATGAGTATGAAAAGTGAAAACACAAATAAGTATAAGACGAGGGCTAAGCGCACGTCAAGTGTCTGTTGCTATATACATATAATACATATATGAACGCATACATATACATACATATAAATATATATATATATATATAAATTTTAATAAAATATGCAAATAAAGTTGCGTGTGCCTGGCATTTGGCAAATTGCAAACAAAACTTCGGAAAAGGGTTGAGCTCTATGAGGCGCTCTCTTTATACATATTTTAGCACCTACCACATAAACAGTCACAAACAGCAAATATAACGAAACACGATTTTAATTTCGAATATTAGAGAAACGCAGCGCACGCACGGACTGCACACACACACACACACACAGACAGAGCTCTGTACAGTGGCAACCGCAGCCTGGACAAGTTTTCAAGGTGCCCGGGATACCTGGAGACCAATGGACATCATGGCTAGCTGGCGCTAACTGGACACACGGCAACAGTCTCTGGGCAGGTAAATTTATGTGTATCTTCTTTATGGAGTTTTGCATGTTAAATGAAACTTGCGGCAAAGTTGTTGCCACCTGCAACGCTTCTAAGTGGGCAATAGTCTTATTTCTGTGCACTTTACAGCTCCAGTTTTACAAGCTGCTAAAATTTGAATGGCAAATGGGCGGGAGGAGCTGTTATTATTAGCTTTTTATGCAAATTGTCCTTAACTACGGAATAAGAGAGAGCTCCATGCACTGAGAATTTATTTCCATTTTCTTTTTTAAGAAATGCGAATTGATAGATGATGCTAATGCCAGTAAATGTACTGTTGACATTGTGGAATTACTTCCAAATTTTTATGTAAATACAACATTATTAGGAAATATACTGAGATAATACTTGAAAGTGTGAGAATCGCATAGAGAGGTGGGAAATGTCAAGTATATGCAAATTTGAGAAAGGAAATGAAAAAAGAGAAAGAGGGAGAGAGAATGTGGGCGAGAAAGAGAGAGGGAATGAGAGACTGCGAGAGATAGACAAGAACTGAGAAAGAAAGAAAGGAAAAGGGAGGGATAGATAAGATAAGAAAGATAAGGGATAGACAGAGAAATAAAATAAGTGAGAAAAACAGTGAAAGGGAGAAAGATAAGGGAGAGGAAGTGAGAGAGAGAGTGAGAGAGAGAGAGAGAAAGAAAATAAGAGAGATGGAAAACGACAGGTTATGATAATTTAAGAAAGGAAAGGAGAAAGAAAGAAGAAAATAGAGACTGATAAATAGTTTTAGAGAAAGCTAAAGTTGTAAATATAATAGAAATACAGATGCAGCGAGAGATAGAGCGAGAATGAGATTATATGAATTCAAAGGAACCGAACAGATTTAATATAGCCAAGATTGGCAATGTTAGACAGAGACAAAAGTAAATGTAGAGAGAGAAAGCAACAAAGAGTAATGTGCGCTTTAATTATATAAAAACTCAATCGTTCGATAATTAATAATTCTGATTATTAAAAGAAACCCAGCACAAATAATAAAATATATAGTAAATATAATAAAAAATATATATATAATTTGTTCGCATGAAATATCAAATACAGGAAATAATTGAAACCCAGTCAACAACGAAATAATACCGAACAAAATACAAAATACAAAATACTCCATCATTAATGGCATTAAGGAAAAAATACATTTGCGTATGAAAATTACTTACAAAACAAACAAGTGAAAATCTCGTTGGCAATGCATAAACAAATATAAAGAGCACATTTAAAATATTGTAAAAAAAAAAGAATAAAATAAATAAAGCGTAGAAAATATAGGGACACAAAATAAAATGCAAATGGAATATAAAAATATATATATTTATATATATATATAATGCAGCTATGTGAATTTTTATATGGTAAAAATATCTGTTGATTTATGTGGCCGGTAAAATTCGCATGGCTTTTATTGCTAGCAATTTAATATTGCTGCATGCTAAAAATTTGAAATACTGCGAAAAACGAGAGAAATGCGAGAAATGCCCGCAGCATTTACCGTATCTATATATGTATATATATCTATAAATTTTTATATATGTATGTGTATATATATGTATATTCCATTTAGCTAAAGCTTTAAGTCGTACATGAATTCATTGGGGGGTGTGAAAGCTGCGCTCAGCTTGTGGCGCAAATTACAGAGTGCAACACAGGATATTTGATTAAAGTATAAAAAATTGAAGTGCAAAATAAAAAAAAAAATAAAAAAAATAATAATAAAAATGGATAAAAAAACGAATAACTGTCAGAAGTTTGGGGGCCAAGTTATTTCCATTAAAAATTAGCCGCGAGCAAAGTTGCAGCGATATGTACTTTGGCGGTAGGTCGGGTAGCTAGGGTAATTTAAACTTTTGCTCTCGCTGGGAGCACACTTGCACACACACACACAGATACACACACACAGACACAGACACATACACATACACATGCACCGACAATCATCAATCAATATGTACAGCAGGACATGCTGACAGACAGGACGATTGCGTGGCTCAGGACGTTGTTGTTGTGACTGTTGTTGTCGTTGTTGCTGTTGTTGTTGCTGTTGTTGCTGTTGTCCCCTGCTCACTCCCTAAGCCAACGCGTAACATTATTATTTCAAGCCATTTCCCACGTAGACAAGCAGCAGCAGGAGGCAAGCAAAAAATATATATATATATGCAGAAAGGGCTCGGGGGCGGGGCGGTACTGAGCAAAGCTAACTGGATAAAGTGAAAGCCAAGCACATGATTTATATGCATTACCAGGCAGAATCTGCCACGTTTATCAGCGTGGTCTACAAATGCGGAAACACAAAATAAAAGTTATAACTTATGCATGACAGATTTGGTGCAAGGTGCAAAGCTGCCGTAGCAGCAGCAGCAGCAGCAGGAGAAGCAGCAGCCGCAGCAGGAGCTACATTTTGCATACATCATTCCATAAAGTAGAAGGCAATGCCAATGCTCAGGATTTGGTACGACGTTGTCCTCAACTCAACTCAACTCGCCCTGTCTATCCCATTTTGCAGGCTTGCCAACTGCTTGACTCGCCCCCTCAGGTTCAGCGAGGGTCGCAGTTTTGGGCCACCCTAGCTTATCCTCGGCTGCTGCTAACTGCTCATTGCGCCGTTACGCAAATTGCATGGAAATCAATTATTTTCGAAATTGAAATTGACGTTTTTCTGACAGTTTGCCAAAAATGTTGTGAAGCGTGTCTAATTTTATTGTCAACGCTTATAGCCAGCTCTCGCTCCCCCCTCCCCACCGCGCAGCTGAACCGTTTAAAGCCAAGACTTTGCTTAAAGCGTTAAAGTGCCCCCTAGCTCAACTATTTGCGAGCGAGCAGTGGGGGCGTTGCCTCAGACTAGAGTCATATACCCCTAATTGAGCACGCACATAAACCCGGAGTAACGAAAATGCCAGACATCCATCATGGCGTAAAAGAAACGGAACAGCTCATACGGACGCAAACGAAATCAGCAGAGAGACGAAACGTGAATACACTGAGATTCACACGAGATAGACTTAATGAGAGCATGTGAGTTATGGATACGACCATTTGCGAATATTATTATGCGAGTATTTCTCTTTTATGTGCATCGAGGTCATAATTTGAAAATCGATTTTTATATAAAAAGGGAACGGGAAAGAGATAGAGACTGACAAATACAAAGGCTGTTATCTTTTTTTTTTTTTTTTTCAGAATAACATTTGATATTCTAATAATTTTTATTTATTTTGTTAAATTATCTATATATATATATATTAATATTATTATTATTTCTTTTATTATAATTATTGTTTTTACAAATATTATATATTATTATTATTAAATTATTGCATTGCCATTATTTTTTAACATCCCATTACTTTGTTAATTCCTTGTATATCATTTTTAATTTTTATTTATTTTTTTTTTATTTATTGATTTATTTATTTATTTATTTATTTATTTTTTTAATTTTCTATTTGTGTACAAAGCCTTGTAGTTTATTTTTGACCAGCCAATATATTATTCTTAATAGTTTTTCAGTATTATTTTGCCAACCAAGCTTCATTCATTCTTTGCGAGTCCCATTTTGCGCTTTGCATTTTAATTTTAATTTTAATTTTAATTTGAATATGCTACTTCATTATCATTATTTTACAAAAATTAATATTCCAACATTTTATTCGATTATATATTTGAATTAGTTCTTTGTAATTTCTAGTTTTATTTTGCCCAACAATTTTGATTAATAATTGTTTATAATTCTTAGTATGGCGTTGGTATTATATCAACTTCTAAAAATTGCATTTAATAAATAAATTATATTTAATTGGATTTCTGTGGAAATCGCACTCAAAATTATAAGTGAAAGTCTAATAAAAGCGGATTATTTTGAAAAATTGTTTTATTTTATTTAATTTAATTGTTTTTTATTACATAGAATGAGAATAGTTGTCATTTCTGTGAATTTCATAAATAATTATTTTAATGTAGAAAGAGGATGTGAATTAATTCTATGAATTTAATCAATATGTATTTTCGTATAGAAATAGAATACTGATTAATTCTATGAATTTATTTATTATTTATTTCAAAATAAAGTTTTTTAATAAACACCAAGGCCATCTAAGAAGGTGTATTCAACCTTTAATTGACTATATAAATTTAAATTTACGCTTTTTCAAGCTCTATCGAAATGCTTCTTTATATATTAAGGGTATTTCATATTTATAAATTATATTTATGTTATAGCTGCATAAATAATTATATATACAAAAGCTCTAGTCTTTTCAATTTAACACCCAACGGCTGTAGTATCCTTATTCTAGGTAAGGGTATTCCTGCACATATTCGTGTTTATTTTTGCGACTGCAGTGTACCGAAATATTTCACGGTGTTGTGCTGAGCGAGTCAGAGTCGAGTCCACTTTCAGTTGCAATTGCAAGAGCAGCAGCTGCTGCTGGTGTGGGATGCGTGTGCACACACACACACGCATACATACACACACATATGTGTGCAGATACACATCTATATATCTTTATGTGTGTGTATAAAGCAGTTTTATGTCGCTGCTAATCTTTGGCCGACGGCATGCAGAAGCCAACAACAGGCAGACAAACAGCAGAGAGCCGAGTCGAGTCGCCCAGTCGAGTGGAGTCCACACACGCACCATCCACCACCCAGCACCCAGCACCCACTCCCCCTCACTCGTGCACATGCATAGTTGTTGACTCACCTGGACTATGTCGCCTTGATCATGGCCGGACGCGGTGAATGTCAAGTGACACAGGAACGGCAATTTATTCCACTGTGGCGTTGGCACTTTTATGGCATAGGTGCGTCCAATATCACCATAGTATGTCCGATTGCAGACTGTGCGTGTTCGTGTTGGGATAAGAAAATGCACATAAATATGTATGTATATATGTATGTGTGTATATATATAGAAAGACAATGCTCTAGTGCATGTGACACTAACCGGAACAGTGCTTCGGCTCGTCACTGCCATCCGCACAATCGCTGCGTCCATCGCAGTATTTGTCCAGCGGCACGCAGATGTTGCCGCTGTTGCCGCTGCCCTTGCAGGAGAACTCCGAGACGCGACAGGCCAGACAGAGGCTCAGCGCGGCCAATACGAGCAGCACCGGCAGCTGCCAAGCCTGACTGGCACTTTGACTGGATTTGAGCATCTGCAGAGAGAAGAAGTGGGACGGCAATTAATAATAGGTAAATATTTAAATGGGAGTATTATTTATAATTAATACTATTTTAATTTTTTGCTATTTATTTAATTTGTCATTTTTTACAATTTAAGAATGAGCAAAAATACAAATATTTTTTATTTATTTATTTTTTTTTTAATAGAAATATTTTTTTATTATTATTTATTTTTTGGTAATTATAATTTTGGTATACAGCAGATATATAGCGAATTATCAATTTATTTTTCTATTTTATTTTTAACTTTACTAGAGGAAAAAAAAAAGGTTTTGAATTAATTTTTTAAATTTTATTTTAAAGATTTCCTTTAACGCTATTATGCAAAAGAACGATATTCATTTAGAATTAGGAGATATGGAAAGGAGAAATTAAATTAAAAATTAGTATATAAAATTTGAATAAATAAATAAATATATAAATTTGGTATAGATTGTAGTTATATATACAAATATACAAATTTCCTGCGCAAATATTTTATATATCAAATATTTTATACTGTTTTAGAGAGCATATTTTAAATATAAATTAATGAATATATTTTCCTCTAGCTGAGGAGGATAAAAATTCGAAATTCAATTATACCTAACGTAACCATATTTTAAGGGGATACGATTTGGTTTATGTATTTTATGCCAAAACGGTTTTTATAATTTCAATTTCAATACCAAACTTTATTATAGATTTTTGCTGTCTATATACATATATAAAAATCTTTCTAAAGGAGTCTCCAACATATTTTTATGAAGTTCTCAATTGCAGCTGGGTATTTATATTTATTTAAATATTTCAAACAATTTTCTTTTCATATTTAATATTGCCAGGATAAAGAGCCAGCATTAAATTATGAACTGGAACAAGCAAATATGTATATAAATAATTACAAAGAAATTTTGCAGAATAAGAATAGATTTATTTTAAGTGAAGGCTGTTTCATTTAAATTCACAATTCCAATATAAAAGTTGATTATGGATTTTTGCTGTATATATAGATATCAGAAAATTTCCCTAAAAGTCTCTGCAGCGTAGTTCTATTAAGAACTCAATTGCAGCTATGCCTTTATATATATATTTAAATATTTCGGACCATTTTCTTTTCATAATTACGATTTCCATTCAATTTCATGTACTCGCCACAGCCAGCACGTACTCGGGGTAAGTGAAAAGTTTCGACATAAAAGGCTCAACGGCCAAATATCGCCTTGCTGGGGAGCTACAAATTCTTGGAGGCTTTTTTGTTGTTGGCACTTGCTGTTGTTGTTGTTGGTTATTGTTGTTTGTTGTCTGGCTAAAACCGTGCAGACATTTGAGCGTAACTACTTCAAGTTTTATGTTGCCGTCAACCCTTTTTTCTCACACACACACACACACACAAACACACATACACTTTATGGGGCACACGTGGATCTGGGCATATTGAAAACTCAGCATTGTTATGTGGAGAGCGGCATAAAGCGCTGCAAGTCCAGGTAAATGGCAGGTGCAAAAACTGTTATCGGTAGCCGGTTATCGTGGATGGGGCAAAAGTTCTTAAAGCGTACTTGATTGCTCAAATCCTTTGTGTATCCTTTTAAGCCTTTTGTTTTCCATTATGCGCCGGAAGTGTTGTAAACACTTCAAAAGGCAAGACAAAAAATATATATATATATATATATGAAAATAAAAGCACGAGAAGATGAAGAAGAACAAGAAAAAACGAATCAGCTACGGCCTGGAAACAATAACAGCAAAGCAACAACTTCTGCAGACTGGCAGCAGGAAGTCTCAAGCCAAGTCCCTCTGCCGCTGGCTCCGATTCTCCGCTCGACCCTCCATTCCCCCTCGTCCTGTACTGGACAACATGCCGAGACAGCGAGTCAACGGGATGCCGTCGCCCTGCCACTTGGCTGTATGTAAATTTGACGACAGTTTTAATAAAAATAAAAGCAGGCACGGAAATAAAGCATAATAATGCGTGATGACAAACCCAACTCAGCGAAAGGGGCGAGCGTGCACGCCCATTAAGCGGAAGGTGCGTGTCGAATGGGAAGCACTCATAACGCTTGGATTGCCCCACTTCGCCCAGTCGGCAGACAACGAAATGGACTGGGCTTCCCTTGGCCTGTCAATATGCTTCCCGCATGAGTTATGTTATAATTGTATGTGTATGTGTATGTGTATCTCTCTCTACTCTCTCACTCTCTCTTTCACTCTCTTTCTCTCTATCTGTTGTCTGCTGGGGAATATTTTGCATAAGCAGGAGCCACGGGCTTGGAGCACTTTAAGTTACTAAGCCAATGCCTGGAGTGCCGTCCAGGGAATGCAGCGCTGCATGGGAGTTGTCGTTGACAGGAACCTGAAAGTGGCCAACGTGGAATGTCAGTCGGAGGGTCGAGATGATTAGTTCGGGGCACAAGAGAGTTTACAACAAAATATTTTAAACAATATAACACAAAAAGGTTGCACGAGCTGCTGCTGAGGGAATTTTGACAAACACATGGCTGAGACATGAAACCGAAAAGAGAATAAATAAAGCCAAAGTTGGCAACATAGAGTTGGCTGTCATAAGTTAGTGGATGCTCAAGCTGCCATTATCTTTCTCAAAATGCTTAGCATATGCAGGTGGATAAACATAATTGACAGCATCCAGATTAATTTGTGAGCTCTTGATATCAGCACTCCCCTAACTCTCCTAAATGCCAGCAATAATCCGTGCTTCCGCTTCGGCTATTTCCAGCGACATTATCTCCGCCCAACTGCTCCAGCTTATGTTGCATAGCCGCTGTCCCATTAATGGGCAACTCTCAGAGATAGAGAGGTTGAGGGGGAGAGGGGGAGTGTGGGGTGGTGGTGCTGCTGCTGCTGTCAGTGGTGCCTTCATTGGTAATCCAATCAATGCACTCTCATGCCTCGACACAATCAAATTCTAGTTACCAAACTGGAGTCTTAGCCAGATATGCGTGGCACAATTAGAGAGCACGTAGAGCCAGAAAGGGAAGAAAAAAAAAAAAGAAATATGCTTAGCCCAAGCACTCTACACACATGCTGAGGCCAGAGCCAGAACCAGGACAATGACAATGACGAGCTACAGAGAAGAGCAGAGCAAACTGGCAAACTAGCTGAGTGGCAGGCAACAAGGCGGGCAACGAGGCGGGCGGGCGGCATTTGCCACAATTGACAAAGAATTTATGCGATGCTTATAAAAGGCTTATAGGGTAAGTCCTTTCACCCAGACAGACACACACACACACACACACACACACACACACATGGATGCTGGCAATGCGAACAGAAACGACAGAGAATTTCACTTTTTACTCGCTAGAGAAATGACGATGTTGGGGTAGCCAAAGTGACAACAGTAAATAAAGCTGGGCGAAGTCGGGCCAAAGCAAGTGGAAAAGGAAAACTGAAAAGTCGCGCGACTGCTCCCAGCGAAATTGCTGGAAAATGATGTTGCAAATGTGAACATTTGTATTTCTGTATATTTGGCTTTTCAGTCCGCTGCGCGCTGGCGAACGGGCAGGAAATGTATTATTAAAGAAAACAAAATACGCCATACAGAACATGACAAATAAATGACGCGTATTCTATATGCTATAAAAAAAAAAAAAATAAATAACAAGGTTTTGTATATTTAATACATTTGATAACAGAAATAGAAGCAAACAAATATATGTATATATATGTTTATTTATTTGTATAAAAATTCTAGTTAAATGTCATATTTTGGCAAATTTTGATGCTCTACACTATAAACAAAATTTGTTTTATTTTTAGTCATAAAATTTAAGTAAAAACATTTTGCAAAATTTAACTTTAAAACTAAATATAAATTATGGTCCATTTATTTTTATTTTAAGTTACAAAAATAGTTGCAGAAATTATTTAATGTTTAAACTCATTCATAGCCAAACATATATTAAGGCAAAACATTATTTTTATTTTTAGATACAAAAATAGTAAAACAATAGTAAAACAAAAATAAAGTAAAATTATTTTCAATTTATAGCCAAAAATAAATTAAGGTAAAATATTATTCTTAGTTTTAGTAACAAAAATATACATATATATATATATATTATATAAATTTTTTGTAAGTTAAGGTAATATTTATTTTCTATATATAAACAAAAAAAAGTAAAATAAAATAAATAAATAAAAAATAAATAATAATAAAAATAAAAAAGAATTTATATATAAAACCTTAAAACCAACTATGATTTGGGGCAAATTTTTATCAAATAGAAATACCCACACGGGGCTCAGAAAGAAACAGAAATATAATTAAATTAGCGTCGAGGGAGGCCAGAAATGTTGTATGAAAAGCAGAAAAGGCCCAAAAACCGGCATCAAAGCCAACAACAAGAGCAGCGGAGACAGCGAGGCGGCTTCAATGGCCAGAAGGCGTCAGGAAATTAGCATAACAAAGCCATTAGAGGGGCGACGCGAGGAGCCAGCACCAAAGGCACTAACGGCAACAAATACTACTAAAAACGCAAAAAAAAAAAAAAAAAATACAGTAAGCCGAATGAAAAACAAAAGAATAGCGCTTGTGATTTCAAAGGCCAACGCAATGGCAATGGCGAGGCGATGTCGCTGTGCCAGTGACAGTGGACCAAGGACGCAGCCCAAACACACACAAATGCATACACACACACACACACACGCGCACACAAATACAAGCGCGGACTACAAATGTCAGCAGCAGCAGCAGCAGCAGCAAATATCACCGGCAGCGGCTGGAACAGCGGTTGCAGCAGTTGCCACTGTGGGGGCGTCAGTCCGCCCCCCTTGTGGCGCCCAGTCAGCGTCTCTCGTTAGCATTGCCTCAATTTTCTGCTGCCTTTTCTTTTTTTTTTTTTGCGGTTTGGTTTGCTGTGGCCCGTTACGTGCCCGGCTACTTTTTGAGTAATGGCCAAGATTACGCTGCAGTGTGCAGGCAGAAGATAGATGGAGCAGCAGCTGGTAGAGCAGCCGAGGTGCCGGGTAT